TACTGTGGCAGAATAACCGAGTTAATTAGTTAGAAAAGAAAAAAAGATTGACTTTGGCTCCCGGTTCCATGATCAATTGATCCTGTTTGGGGCCAGCGCATCATCATACCGCAGTAGGAGCGCATGGCAGGGGAGAACCATCCGCCTTATGGTCCTAGTGAAGCAGAGAGAAGGAAGGGGCCAAGGTTCAAATACTACCTTCAAAGGCAACCTTCCAAAGATCCAACTTCCTCCTCCTAGAGCCCACCTCTTAAAGGTTCTATCGCTTGCCTATGGTACCACTGACTGGAAAGGAAGCCTTTAACACATGGGCCATCGGGGATTTTCCAGATCTGAATCCAAATCGCAGCAACAGTGGGAGAGAGAAGATGGTTAACGCAGAGCAACCAGGGCTCCTCAGGCACTAGTCAACGAGAACGGGGCCCAGTTGGAGAAAGCTGGCTGCCCAGCTATCCCATTGGGTCAAAGCCAGTTTTATGCTTGATCATGCCATCCCTGAAGGTTTGTGACCTTTCTGGGAAGGGTTTCTCAAGCTGTACCCAGAGCCTCATGGAAAACACATGATCTGACCTTGGGATGGTCGCAAGAACAAAGCGTGTCTTCAGTAAATGATGAATTACCGATTAAGGATGCTGGATGAATGGTTTCCAGGGGGTCCCATGCTCCAGAAAGGGGAAGATCAAGCCCTGATGAACCTGGACCTACAGAATACATCATCCAAGAATGGAATGTAGGGCATGCTCAGGGTAGTCGATGCCCAGCCCGGCTTCTGAGCTACCAGGAGGGACAGTGAGTGTTCCCTTCTAAAGTTGGCCACCACAGCCGTGGCCTCCAAAGGAGCATCCACCAAGAGGAGGACACAGTGAGGCCCTGCTCCAGGCACTCTGGCCAGAGGGAGCATTCGCCCCAGTCATCAGAAGTCAGTCTGTGATTCGGGGTGGGACACAGAGGCCAGATGTTACCCTCCCAGCTGCTCACCCTCTGCCTCCCTGCCTCCTCAGAGGTGCCTTTCCCTGAGACTCAGAAGTCAGTCAAGAGAAAAGGGAGTGCACGGGTGAGAACCAGACGTCCTAATGTACACCAAAGACACAATGGCAGGTGAGTAAAATGAGCCCAACAGAACAAGAGCTCTGCCTGTGTGCAAACAGGAAATGACAAATCCACGCTGCTCAGGCTGCTTCCTCCTTTCCCCAGCCTTGAGCCTCTCCTCCCACCTCCACCCCCACTCACAGCCTGGTCTCTAGCCATGCTTTCACTGCAGAATAAAACCAAGGAGTCCTGCTTGGTGGGGTTTAAAGCAACAGTCCCCAGCACAGCCTGAGCAAACCTCACCTACAGGTTCTGACTTGAACACCACTTTTCCTTATTAGTGCCAAGGATGGTTGAAACAAAGCCCTGAACTGCAAATCTTGTCATTTTCCCTCTGGCATCCCAAATAAAAGTCTGGTGCATCACAGGTGTCATGGCGGTAGGCTGGAAGCAGAACACAGACACCAGGGGAAAAAGCCAAGTCCAAACCCAAAACCCTCACCCATTCTTCCTAGGGTTCCCTTGTATGGTGCCGTCAGCTTCTAGTTCCTTACCACTGGGAATGATCAGCTTGTTGAGTGGTGAGTGGAGCCTTCCTGTTCATTGCATCAACCCACGTGCACGGCAGGGGCTTGGGAGGTGCCAGAAATGCTGGGGAGATCACACGGTGTGAAGATCATTGAATTCTACACGGTGTTAAATGCAGAGCTAGCAACTTGCCCCGGTTTGCCTGCGGCTGGTCCAGTTTTAAAACTGAAGTCTTGACTCTCTGGAGCCCCCATGGCAGCAAACTGGGACAACTGGTGACCTTCCCTAGGCAAGAGTAGAAAGCCCTATGGCTATGTGCTATGGCTGTCACTTTCATCTAGTCTTGTCCCCAAATGAGGGGACAAGACAGCCTCCTGAGGGTCAGGCCTTACATCAGCAGTGTCCCCCAGGTCCTGACATGGAGGAGGAGCTATAGGATATCTGCTCCTCTTGATTGGCTCCTTGCTGCAGCCTCCTCATTGTGGTCACCTCTCCTGCAGCCATGTGTCATACACACACAGGCCTTTCTCAACTTTGGCCAGATCTCTATGATCTGGTTACCTCCCCAGTACGTCACTAGGTGGCGCTGTGTGGCAGTCCACCGTAGGGGTCCAAATAGGGTCAGCTTCTCAATTAGGAGCCAGAAGACCCCGAAGCTGCCATTTCGGATTCCGAACTCAGAGAACTGTGGCATACACCCTTCTTACTGCATAGTTCCGTGTGTGCAGCAGGAAGAGGATGCATGCACAACACAAGGATTCCCAAAAATCACTTTTAAATCAAAGGTGTATTTACATGTCACCTGGTCCACCCACATTCTTTAAAAGAATTAGCTCTTCCTTACATGATTACTTTATTATTATTTATATGGGTAAAAATAATTTTTTGGTTTTTTTCTCCTCTCTGAGACAACTTGTCACTTTAATAAACAATAGTGATTCATTTGTGATTGGACAATTCCCCAATTACCTTCAGGACTGAGATTGTTGTTGTATTTATTTGTGCAATAAGAAATGGTAGCCTTGCCGAGTCTAGTTTTTAAGTTAGGCTGTCTGTCTTTCCCTTGGCTGTGGGCAACAGACATACTACAGGACTCCTCAGAAGTGAGACTTGAAGAATCAAATCGTTCCACTTAGGGCTTCCAGCCTTGCTATCTTGGAGACAGAAAGTGGGAAAAACAACAGATTAAGCTAGCTGATGAAGCTAAATTGGAAAGTGTTGTGATCCTCACTACAGCCGGCTAGCAAACAAAACACGAAAGGCAGCATGAAAAGTTGGCGATGCGGTAAAAGCATGTCCACGGGAAGAACACAAGCCACAGCTGGAGGAGGAGGGTCGAGGCATGATGGAAAGCCCAGGAAGCAGAGAGTCAATAAAAATAAAGTGTCCTTTAAGAAGCAGAAAAGCTCAGGAGCGATTTACGGGGTGACAGTAGATAAGGATGCAATGTGCTGTGGCTACAGACGCAGAAGAACCTTCAACCTCAGAACCAGAGCGCCCCGCCCCAAAGCTAGTGGCATCTGGTGGCCAGACCAGCCATTTGCTGAGTACCTATTGTGTGCCAAGTACTTAACACATAGTCATCTTAGAATCCCAAATTCCACAAGGTGAGAGTTGAGCATCCCTACATCTAACAAGGAAAGTGGAGTTCAGAGAAGGGACAGAACTTTTACTTGGGATCAGAGAGCAGAAAACTAACTTCAACTCCATAGTCAACCCAAGTCCAGACTCTCCTCTCTCTACCCTACATGGTGGGTAAAGACCTAAGACATGAGGAGACACTTCAAGGTCCAGTTTCACCAGGAGCACTGTGGCTTTGGGATGGTAGAATGTGTAGAACGACTGAGAAGACAGACTTGCCCTCCAGTCCTGGCACTACCTCTTAGTAGCTTTGTGATGCTGAGACTTTCATTTAACCTCTGTGTGCCTTAGTGCTTTTAATTACAAATGATAAAAGATAGGATTTCCATACACAATGATGGTGAGCAGCAGGATCGGCCCTGGGTGTGCTGCTTGACTCAGTACACACATGATACCATTAGCTTCGGGACGCAACCTAGAAATGGCTGGTTATTGTGCTGTTTCAGTTCCATGCCTGCATCGGAACACTTGCCATGATGAATTCTCACCAGGAAGGTGATACGACTGTCAAAAGCACAAGGTCTGTCCACAAAAAATGGCTAGAGTTGTGTTCGACAGGCTGCGGGCTCTTCGGGACCCACAAAAGCTTTAAGCTCCTTTTTCAACATAACCTGAGCCTCTGGAACCCCAGAAAATACAGTCTCTAAAATGACCCGGAAATGGTGGCCCTGACACCCTTTCCCTGATGGAGACTTGTGGAGGCAAATGGCTAAAAACAGGGAGCAGGGGGCACTGAGCATAGTGTTGTCCCTGAGGGGAGGGCTGGAAGAAGAATGTCATGGTGTCTGTTGTGGAAGGGGCACTTGGATGGGCTGAGTGGACCCCACAGGGCGTTGGTTGCTTTGCTACAAAATGAGGTGATTCTATACATATCATATTTTATAACACTCTTTTAAAATCTCGGTACCTGAACATTCAATTTTATGCCCCATACCAATGCCTGGAGTTACAGCAGACATCCATCACAGGATAAAGGGTTCAGTCCTGCAAGACTCCACGCACTTACCAGGTGCAAGGACTGGGTCCCCAGGCGACCAACACCTATACCTCATTAGGCTAGGGTTCTCACCCTCTGGCTTCCCAGGACTCAGAGAAGTGCTGTGCTTGTAATTACAGCCAAGGAGACACATATGGGTGGGAAGTGGGGGGCATAGCACTTTTATTCCTTGGAAGGTGTCTGAACCATGCTTGGCAGGGTCGAATCCGGGGCGTCATTTTGTGGAAATGAGATTTTTTTATTGGCTACATCACGGAACTCAAAAGCCAGCAACCTCACTCTCTCTTCAGTGGTTGGGGAACAGGAACTAACGCGCAAACCTTCTAATCAGGAGGTTTGTTCCTTAGGTGACCACCCTCTCCTGAGGCTAGTTAGTCCCCCAGTCCAGTGGCCATCTTTGCATAGACTCTAGTATGGGAGGAAGGCACTCATGAAGGACAACAAAAGTCCCTTCTGTCGTCCAGGAAATTCCTAGGGTCTTGGGAGCTCTCTGACAGGAACCTGGGATAAAGAACAAATCGGCTTTTATACCACAGACACTTTCTAACATCCCTTCTATCTCTAGCTGTGTTTAGTGGTCCAAACCTCATTACACCATGCGATTCATCTTAGTCAGAGATGGTCAGGAATCTAGGACGCTGCTGCCAAGGGTCAGAGCTACCTGAAGAAGGAAGCGGTCTAGCTGAAGCTGGATGATCCTGGCCTCAGAGATATAAGCGAGGAAATCTCCACACTGGCGTCAGTTTGCCCAACTGGTTGTAATTGTCCAGGAGCGATATAATACCGTTGCCTTTCTTGACTTCAGAATCGAGAGATGCTTCCGTTCTGGGTGAACAGCAGTGGCAAGCGGGAAGGCTGGCAACGTGGATGGCATGGATACGACAACGAGCTCATGGACATGAGAGGCATCTTCCTGGCCTTCGGACCTGGTAGGCAGCACTCCAAGGAAGCAGCTCTAATAGGGACTAACCACACTCCTACAAAGTTGGAGAGGTTCCTTTATGGACCCTCTTTATGAGCCAAGCTAAGCAGATCCAGCCGCTCTCCATGCAACATCTTTAGCTGGCTTCCTTTCAGCTGCTTCTTTGGTTTGGCAACTGTGGCCAAATACTTTTCCTTGTAAATTTTAAATCCTGAGTATAGTGCCGAAAATGTATTCCACATATCTGTGATTCATTTGTTACTTAATTCATCGAGACGGTTTTTTCACAGCTATCTGATGTCTAGAAAGGCTTATCAAACACACCAATTTGCTGGCAACTGTCAGTCTCAAGGTTGATGCTATTGCTTCCCAGCAATAGCCCTGCTTTGTCTAGAATATCCACACCTGTGGGGTCCAATTAGAGTACAGCTAGAAACTAGGATGGATTCAAGGGCAGGCTCAGAAATGACCTTGACGTTGACTTTGAAAATGAGCCAGAATAAGGAGAGATATTTATATAGAAGTAAATTTGATGATCTTTCCTTGATCAGATTATATTCCAAGGGTCTGGAAGACAAGACAGATGGGGAGAGTCTCTTTGGCCACTTGACTTGATTGGTATGGCACTATGAACCTGTACAATGGAAAAACTTACCAAGTAGTCTAACGAGCGTATAGCCAGATCCATGCCTCAAAAAAAGGCATCCAGGGGTGAGGAAGAAGGGAGCAGTCACTCCAACAGCTAGCAGGCATCAGGTGGCCAGTGCACAGCCATCCTTTCCACTACTGTCCACTCCTTTATTGAACATTCTCCCTCTGACGTCTGTATTCCAAAGGCTCATTTCTGTGTGCTGATCAAAGAGTATCTACTCAAGAAAGTCCACTCTTTCGTTTCCAACTGTATACTAAATCATGTGAGCTCTGCTCTTCTCATCCGAGTAGCGAGACCAGCCATGTCAATTCACCGTTCTTATTGTGTCTGTCTCTGTTTATCCCACTTATCACACACACACACACACACACACACACACACACACACCAAGCTGTTAAGAGTCTGAATTTGGAGGGGGGGGAGCTATTGGTGACCTCCATGTGACCCCACATTTGATTCTCAAATCCCAAAGTCAGCCTCAGGATCAGTGACAGCAAACATTTATAAAGAGAGCTGGCTGAGTTCCTAACACAGGTCCAAGAGACCAGAGGATGTCTGAGTACATTGTCATTGGCCAATGAAAGTTAGGAGAGCTCCCTGTTGGCCAAGCCCAGAACTTGCAGAATTTCAGTGCAAGAGGAATTAAGAATGGAGCTTTCAGGACTATGTTGAGGTCTGTTGTAGATCAGAAAGAAGACATTCCAAGGTCATGGAGAATGTCAATCCTCAGCATTTTCAGTCAAAAATGTCAGCACTTTCTTCCCCAGAAGAGGGAAGTAAGGTAAAGAATGCCGAACAGTTTTCTGTAGGACTGTATATAAGCAAGTCTCATGTGTGTTTTAAAGCATAAGTCGCTCTATCCCCACATCAAGAGTTCTAAATGAAATGCCCAGCCTGGCGCTAACTTAGAGTTAAATCCACCAGGGATGTTTTGTCCATTAGCAGATGCCTCTGTCATCAGCTCCTTTCAAATGGAAAGCCCTCAGTATTTCACAGACAGAAAGACAACCCCGGAAGAAAATGGGCTGAGCTAATTGCAAAATGTTTTCTTGAGAGCCTTGCAAATCATCGCATTCCAGGCTTCAATTCTCATGAAAGATTAAATAGCTTTACACACCGACTGTTTACTCAGAAGAATATTTCAGAGTGAGCCCTTTAATAGGTATCTAGCTGTACTTGCAGATAAAGGTGCATACCTCCTGATTCACTGTACTTCTTCCTTAGGGAGGAAGCTGGGCATCATTGCGGCTGCCCAGATACCAGCCTTCCAAGCCAGTAAGTCTGGCCCATCAGAGAAAAAGGAAAAGAATTCTGAAGACAGCCTCTCTGTGGTTAATCCCAGTTTCTAATTTCAGCTACCTGGTCCCGTCCAGGAGAACTGAGACTGCAGGAGCAGGAATCGGCAAGTGGGCACAGCCCTGCAAGCCCCTCTCAGGGCTACAGATGAAGGTAGAAGGTGGCTAGGCCTACGGAGCCTTTTATACCCAAATGTAATGCCCATGTATAAGCCTGTGGGAATAATTTAGATTCAAATCTAGGTTCAAAGCATCATCTTGAGCTAGTGGAACTTGGTGAAAGACTTCCAGATCAGATGAGGTGTTGGTCATCTACCAGGGAATTTTCTAAAAGTTTGCATGTCTTTGACTTGAGCTCAAAAGTCCATGCCTTTAGAACGGAAGGTCATGAACTAGATCAAAAATTCGGTGTTCTACTGCTGAACAGGCAGAGGCATTGGGCACAATTTTGCCTTCTCAGTCATTTTTCAAATATGATTATCCTCCCTGGGACTCTGTCAGGACTTCATCTCCACTGTTCCTTTTGTCTTTGAAACACGGATTTTTTTAAAGGTCAGAGAAGGACCCCTCACATCTCCCCCCCCACCCACACACACACCACCTGATGGTGATTTGGCCTGGCGTGGAGAACAGTGTGACCTTCACATCCAGGTCACATGGCACAGCAGCAGGAAAGAAGAAAGCTGCTCCCATGACCCTTGGACAGTCTTTCCATTGATCCTGTAGGCTGTGGTGGGTTCATGTGCTGTCATGTGATCGTGCGGTGTCACCACCACCTCATCCTATTATATAATTCGCCTTGACATTGGGAGAGGCCTCCTTTGCATTTTCCTGCGCTTCTTTAAGTTCTCATTTTTTAAAACTAGTTTTACTTTGAAGCAATTCAGACCCTTAGTCTCCCTTCCTCACAGGAAAATGAACCTGCTAAGCCATTTATAAGGTTATAATTTTTCAACCCTATTTTTTTCTTGCTGCCACTTACTGTACTTATTTATTAATAATAATGGCTGTTATGTCTGACATTATGATTTAGGTGCTATTTCCAACACCCTGTAGAGCGCTGGTACCTCTTCACACTGAATTCAACTTAATTCTCCAAAGTTAGCAAAACCCATTTCTTGAAAAGTTTCCCTAGATCTCACACCCTGGGTGCCAGGGGCTTCTGTCTATAACTTTCTTCCATAATTATAATTTTAGGGGCAGAATTGGTGTCAGTACTGTACTTCCAGAAGATTCTGATATGTTGTTTGTGCCTTTTAAATTTTAGTGTATCTGATCATTTAGCAGAGCACATGAAATGATTGTTTTCTGAAATAGAAAGTCAGGAATCTCAGGTCCCGTTTCTCCTTTAAAAATCTAAGATGGAAGCAGGGCAGTGGTGGTGCACGCCTTTAATCCCAGCACTCCGGAGGCAGAGGCGTGAGGATCTCTGGGAGTTCAAGGCCAGCCTGGTCTACAAGAGCTAGTTCCGGTACAGGCACCAAAGCTACAGAGCAACCCTATCTCGAAAAACAAACAAACAAACAAAAAAACAAAAAAAAATCTAAGATGGATATTAAAAGCACAGGCCTCTGTTCATGGATCAAAACTCAACCCTGAACTCAACCTTAGCATAGCTTGGGATATTTCGTTAGACATTTTGTTTGGGGTCTAAACGCAAAGTTGCTCCTTTATGTTGTATTCAGATTATCGCTGTCTAATGAAGTGGTTCTCAACCTATGGTTCGTGACCCCTTTGGGGGTCAAATGACCCTTCCGCAGGGGTCACCTAAGACCACAGGAAACCACAGATTTTACATTAAAATTAACAACAGTAGGAAAACTGCATTTATGAAGTAGCAATGAAAGTAATTTCATGGTCAGGAGACACTACAACATGAGGAACTGTATTAATTGGTTGCAGCATTAGGAAGGTTGAAAGCCATGGGTCTAAAGGAATAGGGCTCCATCCTCATTACCTGTCCCATGGGGAAGCAACAGGCACACTGCTCCAACTGCTTGGAACATCACCTTTTGTGCCCCTGGAGAACAGCGCTCTGCATGATCAGCCTCTGTTTTACACACCTGTGTTCAATGCCCTCTGCCTGCACAGGATCTGGGGAGAGGCACAATGCCCTGACCTCCAGAGGTCACTTGAAATGTCCCCTGAAATCTCAACTCCAATACCAGTTAGCTCATTTTCCCTAAGGCTAAATTACTTCATCAGTTCCCAAAAGGCTCCCATACATAGTTAATTCTATAAATTTATTGAGAATATTACTGCCATTACTGGTGAGCTGTCAGTTCCCAGAAGGCTTCATGAGCCATAGAGAACTGTGACTTTGGTGTGGTAGGCAGAGAGAGACATTCTCAAGTTGCCATAGGTGCTCTGGAAAGCACCGTACGTACTAGCCCCAGCTAGCCAGGAGTCCTAGAAGATAGCCATGATGTTTTCAAAGAACCCAGCAAAGCAGTCTGACTTTTTTGACCACACTGGCTTCCCAATGCTCTAAGGAAATGGAGCACCTTAACTGGCCTGTCTCCCTTTGCAGGAATGCTTCATTGTAACAGAAGTATAGGAAACTTAGTCACAAAGAAGCCTGTCTGCTAACTTGTCTTCTGAAGGGTCTCATCTCTATGTCCGATAGAAGAGTGTACACAGGTTTTTTTTGGAGGTGGGGGGACAACTCCCAAATAATAACATGGAGACTTAATATGAATTATGAAAGCTCGACCTTAGATTAGGCTTGTCCCATTAGCTCTTAGAACTTAAATTCATTCATATTTTTATTAACCTACATTCTACCACATGGCTTTTACCTCTCTCCCATTCTGCGTGTCTGTCTTGTTCTGCATCTCAGTGATGTTTCCTGTAATTGCTCCTCCCCTTCCTCTCTCTCTCTCTCTCTCTCTCTCTCTCTCTCTCTCTCTCTCTCTCGAAGTCCCACCTATCCTCCCCACATAGCTATTGGTCATTTAGCTCTTCATTAAACCAATCAGAAGGTGCCTTAGCAGAGACGCATCTTTACAGTGTAAACAAACATTCCAAAAACAGGTTTGTTCCTTTATGGCCTACAACTGTCCACAGATGCTTCCTCTTTTATAATCACTTAGGCACAAGGAGGGAGCTGACTTTCCTGGAGCCTGGGCAGAGTTTCTCCATCCTTGAGTCAACTTTCCTTTTTCTGAGTAACCAATCATGACCACCTGCTTGTCTGTTTTTGCCTTTTAGATTTCAAGTCCAACTTCAGAGCTGCTCCGATCAGATCTGTGGACGTCTACAACATTATGTGCAATGTAGCAGGCATCACCCCACTGCCTAACAACGGGTCCTGGTCCAGGGTGGTGTGCATGCTGAAGGGTCAGACCAGCTCGGCTCCATCTGCTTCACTGAACCGCTGTGCCCTGGTCTTGATTCTCCTCTTACGCTTTGTATAGCTGGTCAGATTACTCATTCCAAAATATCACTGCAGTGAGGCCTGCCACCAGCACGGGACAGTTTTCATTTTTTTTTTTATCAATAATAGCTTATTAACACAATCAAGGCCATTAAAGTTATAAATACATCATTCTTGGATGATTATGTACACATGAAAAATTTCTTAAACTATTTTACCTAAGTTTGACATTTTTACCTTTTCATTCTTTTTTTTACATTTTTTTATTGAGAAAAGAAGAAAATAAAACATAAACAAAAAAAACCAAGTTTCCACCTCCTCCCAGCCTCCCATTTCCCTCCCCCTCCTCCCACCCTTCTTCCCCTCCCCCCACTCCTCTCCCCCTCCCTCTCCAGTTCACAGAGCAGTCCCGGTTCCCTGCCCTGTGGAAAGTCCAAGGTCCTCCCCCCTCCGTCCATATCTAGGAAGGTGAACATCCAAACTGGCTAGGCTCCCACAAAGCCAGCACATTAAGTAGGATCAAAACCCCTGCCATTGTCCTTGGTGTCTCATCAGCCCTCATTGTTCGCCATGTTCAGAGAGTCCGGTTTTATCCCATGCTTTTTCAGTCACAGTCCAGCTGGCCTTGGTGAGCTCCCGATAGATCAGCCCCACTGTCTCAGTGGGTGGATGCACGCCTCGTGGTCCCGACTTCTTTGCTCATGTTCTCCCTCCTTCTGCTCCTCATTGGGACCTTGGAAGCTCAGTCCAGTGCTCCTGTGTGGGTCTCTGTCTCTATCTCTATCCATCACCAGATGAAGATTCTATGATGATATGCAAGATATTCGTCAGTATTGCTCTAGGATAGGGTCATTTCAGGTTCCCAATCCTCAGCTGCCCCAGGAACTAACTGGGAACCTCATCTTGGGCACTTGGGAGCCCCTCTAGGGTCAAGTCTCTTGCCCACCCTAAAGTGGCTCCCTTAACTAAGAATTGTGGTTCTGTGCTCCCCTATCCACCTTTCCTTTATTCCAATTCTCCTGTTTCCCAAGGTCCCCCCTCCTTCCCTTCTACCTTTTCTCTCCCCATCTCCCCTTACCCCCATCCCACCCCACCCCCAAGATCCCAATTTTCTCCCCGGCAATTTGGTCTACTTCCCTTAGCCAAGAGGATAACTATATGTTTTTCCTTGGGTTCACCTTCTTACTTAGCTTCTTTAGGTTCACCTATTATAGACTCCGTGGCCCTTATTTATGGCTAGAAACCAATTATGAGTGAGTACATCCCATATTCATCTTTTTGGGTCTGGGACACCTCACTCAGGATAGTGTTTTCTATTTCCATCCATTTGCATGCAAAATTCGAGAAGTCATTGTTTTTTACCGCAGCGTAGTACTCTAGCGTGTATATATTCCATACTTTCTTCATCCATTCTTCCATTGAAGGGCATCTAGGTTGTTTCCAGGTTCTGGCTATTACAAATAATACTGCTATGAACATAGTTGAACAAATGCTTTTGTCATATGATAGAGCATCTCTTGGGTATATTCCCAAGAGTGGTATTGCTGGGTCCAGGGGTAAGATGATCCCGAATTTCCTGAGAAACTGAAACACTGACTTCCACAGTGGTTGCACAAGATTGCATTCCCACCAGCAATGGATGAGGGTACCCGTTCCTCCACAGCCTCTCCAGCAAAGGTTATCCTTGGTGTTTTTTACTTTAGCCATTCTGACAGGTGTAAGATGATATCTCAAAGTTGTTTTGATTTGCATTTCCCTGATTGCTAAGGAAGTTGAGCACGACCTTAAGTGTCTTTTGGCCATTTGAACTTCTTCTGTTGAGAATTCTCTGTTCAGTTCAGTGCCCCATTTTTTAATTGGGTTAATTAGCATTTTAAAGTCTAGTTTCTTGAGTTCTCTATATATTTTGGAGATCAGACCTTTGTCTGTTGCGGGGTTGGTGAAGATCTTCTCCCAGTCAGTAGGTTGCCTTTGTGTCTTAGTGACAATGTCCTTTGCTTTACAGAAGCTTCTCAGTTTAAGTAGGTCCCATTTATTCAATGTTGCCCTTAATGTCTGTGCTGCTGGGGTTATACATAGGAGGCGATCTCCTGTGCCCATCTGTTGTAGGGTATTTCCCACTTTCTCTTCTATCAGGTTCAGTGTGTTCGGGCTGATATTGAGGTCTTTAATCCATTTGGACTTGAGTTTTATGCACGGTGATAGATATGGGTTTATTTTCATTCTTCTACAGGTTGATATCCAGTTGTGCCAGCACCATTTGTTGAAGATGCTTTCTTTCTTCCATTGTATACTTTTAGCTCCTTTATTGAAAATGAGGTGTTCATAGGTTTGTGGGATAAAATCCGGGTCTTCTATACGATTCCATTGGTCGACTTCTCTGTTTTTATGCCAGTACCACACTGTTTTCATTACTGTAGTTCTGTAATAGAGTTTGAAGTCAGGGATGGTAATGCCTCCAGAAGATCCTTTATTGTATAGGATTGTTTTGGCTATCCTGGGTTTTTTGTTTTTCCATATAAAGTTGATTATTGTCCTCTCCAGATCTGTGAAGAATTTTGATGGGATCTTGATGGGGATTGCATTGAACCTATGAACTGCCTTTGGTAGAATTGTCATTTTTACTATGTTGATCCTCCCAATCCAAGAGCAAGGGAGGTCCATCCATTTTTTGGTATCCTCTTCAATTTCTTTCTTCAATGCCTTAAAGTTCTTGTCAAATAGATCTTTCACTTCCTTGGTTAGATTTACCCCAAGATATTTTATGCTGTTTGTGGCTATCGTGAATGGTGAAGCTTCTCTGATTTCCCTCTCTGCTTCCATATCCTTTGTGTATAAGAGGGCGACTGATTTTTTTGGAGTTGATCTTGTATCCTGCCACATTACTAAAGCTGTTTATCAGCTGTATAAGTTCTTTGGTGGAGTTTTGGGGGTCGCTTATGTACACTATCATATCATCTGCAAATAACGAAAGTTTAACTTCTTCCTTTCCAATTCGAATCCCCTTGATCCCATTATGTTGTCTTATTGCTATTGCTAGAACTTCAAGCACTATATTGAAGAGGTATGGCGAGAGTGGACAGCCTTGTCGTGTTCCTGAGTTAAGTGGGATGGCTTTGAGTTTCTCTCCGTTTAATTTGATGTTAGCTGTCGGCTTGCTGTATATAGCTTTTATTATATTTAGGTATGACCCTTGTATCCCTAATCTCTCCAAGACTTTTAACATAAATGGATGTTGAATTTTGTCAAATGCTAGCTGTCGGCTTGCTGTATATAGCTTTTATTATATTTAGGTATGACCCTTGTATCCCTAATCTCTCCAAGACTTTTAACATAAATGGATGTTGAATTTTGTCAAATGCTTTTTCAGCATCTAATGAAATGATCATATGGTTTTTTTCTTTCAGTTTATTTATATGCTGGATTACATTGATAGATTCTCGTATGTTGAACCAGCCCTGCACCTCAGAAATGAAGCCTACTTGATCATAATGGATAATTTTTCGGATATGTTCTTGGATTCGATTTGCCAGTATTTTGTTGAGGATTTTTGCGTCGATATTCATGAGTGAGATTGACCTGTAGTTCTTTTTCCTGGTTGACTCTTTGAGTGGTTTTGGTATCAGAGTAATTGTGGCTTCATAAAAGGAATTTGGTAATGACCCTTCTGTTTCTATATTGTGGAATACATTAAGGAGTATAGGTATTAGGTCTTCTTGGAAGTTCTGGTAGAATTCTTCATTGAAACCATCTGGTCCTGGGCTTTTTTTGGTAGGGAGGTTTTTGATAACAGCTTCTAATTCTTCGCGACTGACAGGTCTGTTTAGATTGTTCATCTGGTCCTGGTTTAGTTTTGGTAAATGGTATTTATCTAAAAAAGCGTCCATTTCTTTTACATTTTCCAGTTTTGTGGCATACAGGCTTCTGTAGTAAGATCTAATGACTCTCTGAATTTCCTCTGTGTCTGTGGTTATGTCCCCCTTTTCATTTCTGATCTTATTAATTGGCGTGTTCTCTCTCTGTCATTTGATTAGTTTGGATAGGGGTTTATCAATCTTGTTGATTTTCTCCAGGAACCAGCTTTTTGTTTCATTGATTCTTTGGATTGTTTTCTGTGTTTCTATTTTGTTGATTTCAGCCCTCAGTTTGATTATTTCCAGTCTTCTACTCCTCCTAGGTGAGTCTGCTTCTTTTTTTTCTAGAGGTTTCAAGTGGGCTGTTAAGTCTCCAATATGTGCTTTCTCTGTTTTCTTTAGGTGGGCACTTAGTGCTATGAACTTTCCTCTCAGGACTGCTTTCATAGTGTCCCATAAGTTCGAGTATGTTGTTTCTTTATTTTCATTGAATTCAAGGAAGACTTTAATTTCTTTCTTAATTTCTTCCTTAATCCAGGTATGGTTCAGTAGTTGACTGTTCAGTTTCCATGAGTTTGTAGGCTTTCTGGGGATAGCATTGTTGTTGAATTCTAACTTTAATCCATGGTGATCTGATAAGACACAGGTGGTTACTAATATTTTTTTGTAACTGTGTAAGTTAGCTTTGTTACCGAGTATGTGGTCAATTTTCGAGAAGGTTCCATGAGCTGTAGAGAAGAAGGTATATTCTTTCCTCTTTGGGTGGAATAATCTATAGATGTCTGTTAAGTCCATTTGCTTCATTACCTCCATTAATTCTCTAATTTCTCTGTTAGGTTTCTGTCTGATTGACCTGTCCGTTGGTGAGAGAGGAGTGTTGAAGTCTCCTACTATTAGTGTGTGTGGTTTGATGGCTGCCTTGAGTTTTAGTAATGTTTCTTTTACGTACGTGGGTGCTTTTATATTAGGGGCATAGATATTCAGGATTGAGACTTCTTCCTGATGAATTGTTCCTGTTATGAGTATAAAATGTCCCTTTCCATCTCTTCTGATTGATTTAAGTTTGAAGTCAACTTTGTTAGAAATTAGTATGGCCACACCTGCTTGTTTCTTAGGTCCATTTGCTTGATAAGCCTTTTCCCAGCCCTTTACTCTGAGTAGGTGCCTGTCTTTGTGGTTGAGGTGTGTTTCTTGTAGACAGCAGAATGTTGGATCCTGTTTTCTTATCCAATCTCTTAGCCTGTGCCTTTTTATAGGTGAGTTGAGCCCATTGATATTAAGTGATATTAATGACCAGTGGTTGTTAACTCCGGTCACTTTTTTAGTAGTAGGGTTTGTGTGTTTTCCTTCTTTGATTTGCGCTGGTGAAGGGTCTCTAGATGTCTGAGTTATTGTGGTCATTGTTGGACTCCTTGGTTAGTGATTTTCCTTCTATTATTTTCTGTAAGGCTGGATTTGTGGCTACGTATTGTTTAAATTTGTTTTTATCCTGGAAAATTTTGTTTTCTCCATTTATAGTGAACGAAAGTTTGGCTGGATATAGTAGTCTGGGCTTGCATCCGTGGTCTCTTTGTTTTTGGAGTACATCTATCCAGGACCTTCTGGCTTTCATGGTTTCCATAGAGAAGTCAGGTGTAAGTCTGATAGGTTTACCTTTATAAGTAACTTGGCCTTTTTCCTTTGCGGCTCTTAATATTCTTTCTTTATTCTGTATATTTTGTGTTTTGATTATTATATGGCGAGGGGATATTTTCTTTTGATCCAGCCTATTTGGTGTTCTGTATGCTTCTTGAACTTTCATAGGTACATCTGTCTTCAGGTTGGGAAAGTTTTCTTCTATAATTTTATTAAGTATATTTTCTGTACCGTTGAGCTGCACTTCTTCTCCTTCTTCTACTCCAATTATTCTTAGGTTTGGTCTTTTTATTGTGTCCCATATTTCCTGAATGTTTTGTGATGAGAGTTGGTTGGACTTGCTGTTTTCTTTGATCAGAGCGTTTATTTTCTCTATGTTATCCTCAGAATCTGAGATTCTTTCTTCTATCTCTTGTATTCTGCTGGTTATGCTTGATTCTGTAGTCTCTATTCGTTTACCTAGATTTTCCATGTCCAGCCAGCCCTCTGTTTGTGTTTTCTTCTTTGCCTCCATTTCAGTTTTCAAGTCATGAACTGTTTCCATTATCTGCTTGATTGTTTTTCCTTGGTTTCCTAGGGTATCATTCACTGATTTACTCAATTCCTCGAACTTTCTGTTATACTTCTCATCCATTTCTATAAGGGCGTTTTTTATATGCTGTTTAAGGGTGCCAATCACTTTCATGAAGTCAGTTTTTTCTACTTCTTCTTGATTAAGGTGTTCATGTCCTCCTGTTGTGAAGTCACTGGCTTCTGGTGGTTTCGTGTTGTTTTTCAGATTGTTGGGAGAATTCCTGCATTGGCGTCTGCCCATCTCTTCCTCCCAATACTCCCCTTTGGATCTTCTTTTACAGGATCAGGTCTTCTTGCCCACTGATGTACCTTCCCAGTGATGTCACTCCCCAGAGATGTTTCTCCACAATGATGTTTCACTTGGGGCCCAGATCGAAACTCCGCGCTGCTTGGTTAGCTCGCCAACAAAGGGCCCACCCTGCTTGCTGCGGGCAGGCTATGGGAACAATGGAGCTACCGGCCACCCCTTTGTCCTCCCGGTTCGGGTTCAGTCCCAGCGCCCTAGCAGGCTGAGCAGGGAGGCGCTATGCCACCCAAGAAGGGAGGGAGGGAGGGAGACAGGGGGTGGGGGGGATCTGGATGTAAGCTGAATGGGATAGGAAGAGAGAGTAGGTATGGGCAGTATAGCCCCTGTAGGATGGCCAGGAAGTGTGGGCAGGCTGAGGTATGTTCCCAGCTGCCGCAGCACTCACTCACTACAATGATGTTTCACTTGGTGCCCAGATCGAAACTCCGCGCTGCTTGGTTAGCTCGCGAACAAAGGGCCCACCCTGCTCGCTGTGGGCAGGCTATGGGAACAAAGGAGCTACAGGCTACCCCTTTGTCCTCCCGGTTCGGGTTCGGTCCCAGCGCCTTAGCAGGCTCTTACCTTTTCATTCTTATCACTATTCAGTTTTCTCCTTTCTTTGCACATCCTACGGAAGATAGCAATGTCTGTCCCAGCAACAGCCAAACTTTAAATGGATATCCTGTAGTCATCCTGGGTCCCACTTCTTGCCTTGCCCTGTCAGTCAGGCCCTCTGGGTTCAGTCTACATCCAAGGGCTCATATTTGGGGATTTGCAGCCAAAATTCTGCACTGTCTTCTCTATTCCAGAAAGAGGAGGTCTAGCTACAGGAAAGCAATACATGCTGTCTGTTTCTGCCATGGTGCATGGTGTTTTTATAACACCATCTCAGAAAGCACATAGGCCAGTAGAGATCACTGATCAACCAATTGGGGGTATCTAAACACTAGACAACTCATAGAACCGGTGGAAGCCATGATTTCCTCTCTCAAAATCTGTGAACACAATAGCTTCTCAGTTTCACTGAGTGCAACCTTGCAAGGTTCCATGAGACTTCATACACAATCTCTGATCTGAGTCTGACCACCTATTTCCCGCAGATACAGCAACCCTTTAGCTCCAGGGTCGGGGTGGAAAGCAGGTAAACACCTGATATGTCAGCATGGGCTTAGGAAGGAAGAGCTGGCTCAGCGATAATAGTATGAACATTAGAAATCGTAACTCACTACTGGGAATGGTGATATATCAAATTCAACTTCATATTTCAGGAGTCCAAAAGACAAATGTAAAAAGAGTTGATTTTATTTTTAAACAATTAGAGGCACACATACAGTCCTCTACATATGATAGTTAGACTTATGAGTTTCACCTTTTTCTTTTTTTTTTCTTTCTTTCTTTCTTTCTTTCTTTTTGTTTTGCTTTGCTTTTTCAAGTCAGAATTACACTGTGTAGTTTTGGAGCCTGTCCTGGGACTCACCCCATAGACCAGGCTGGCCTCCAACTGGCAGAAATCTGCCTGCCTCTGCCTCCCAAGGGCTGGTATTAAAGGCGTGTGCCACCACCACCCAACTTGGATTTTTTTTCCCTTTTTTATGGTGAGGCAGCAAGACACCTTCAATAGAACACAATCTGAATTTTGATCTTGAGCATTTTCTCAGCCTAGTATTAGGCAATATGACACTGTCTCACAAGGCTGGCCAGGAGCGGCAGTGAACCACCACTCCCACCCAGCCACGTGATCCTGGGTGTAAACACACCGTACCTGAGAGCGCTGTGTGTTGCCACACTATGAGGTTCTGTAGGACGGGGTATTAAATTCATTTTGACTAAATAATATTTCCGGTACATGGTGGTTCTATTGGGGTGTGACCCCACTGTAAGTTGAGGATGTAACAATGGAAGTTGTACATCTTGTTGCTTAGGATCCGAAATGAACTGACAGCAGATGATTCACTAAGTGACGCTGCCTTGGGAAAAGACGGAACGTCAGAGCTCAGGAGGAGGAAGCCTTTGTCTGGTGCTCGCCTTGACAAAACAGCAAACCCGGGGGTTTGCTGAAGATGGTGCAGAGCAAAAGATCACCGCTGAAAACTGGTGCGTTTAGCCTCACAAAAGACTTCTAAGGATTTATGTAATGTGTTTTTAAAGCTCCAACAAACCATGGAATCAATTGGGAAGGAGGCGAATCAGCCTTTGTTGTGTGGTTGAGAGCAAATTAGTACTTTCAGAACACTGATAGGAGCCGTGGAAACAGACATCTATTGTTCAAAGTTTTATCTCTCCCCCCCAAACAAAGAATGATGTTTTGTTGAATTCTAGGAAGCAGGGCTTGACTTCCTCTACAGAAGAAGGGCTTTCTGAGAGACAGTCAAGTGATTAAATTAAAAGTGAATCATTAAAATCAAGAGGGGATAATAAGATTGTACACAATGTTGCATTTTTCTTTCTTGGTCTGTTCTGTTCTTTCCTTCACTCATCCTTAAAAACCCTTAAGTTATATAACCAATTTTCAGATCTCTGTCTGATAAAGTATAATTTCTCAATAAGTAATGTTGAATACACGGATGAGAATGAGATACCAAAGGAATCTTGAGGGCTGGAGAGATGGCTCAGAGGTTAAGAGCATTGCATGCTCTTCCAAAGGTCCTGAGTTCAATTCCCAGCAACCACATGGTGGCTCATAACCATCTGGCCTGCAGGCATACACACAGACAGAATATTGTATACATAATAAATAAATAAATATTTAAAAAAAAACAAAGGAATCTTGAGTAGAGGTCAAATAACAAAATTTAGGAAAAACATTCTTTGCCCGAAACTAATGCATATATTCTGATGACATAATTAGTTGGCTGAAATTTGTTCTGCTTTAAAGTCTGATTATTTTCCCCACCCACTCCTAACCCTGCTTAGCCTCTGAGGTGCAATGAGACACAGTGTGTTCAGGGCACTATAGCTTAGACATTCTAAAAGGAATGTGTCTGTAAAAGTAAGATGTCCTGGGAATATGAACATCCATCCATCCTCCTGAAGTTTTCTGAGACTTGACTGCTGATCCCAGGAGGGAGATAACCGAGCAGACCTACCACAGCGAAATGAGAGGGATGGTCTTCAAATTAGAGATGAGACTAAGGGCTACTTTCTCTGCCCATATGCCTCATCTCCAGAATCCAATTTAATTAAGTTCTAAAGACCTAACTGTAAACTACCATAGGTCCACAAGCCTAGAAGAGTCTTAAATTATAAAGGCCCAATTCTCTTCACTTTTAAAATGACTTTAGAAACTCATATTTGATCTGCGTTCAGCCACAGATAGTACCTTGTAAACCCTCCCAGAGTCACAGGGTAGAGCCTCAGACAACAGTTGTAAGTCATAATGATGAAAGTTGGGGCTTTCCCGAGGAGACGTGAGTTTTAATTCATCCCTGGGACATCTGAATCCCCAGAGACCCATTTCATAATTAGTCAGTTTCTCCAGGGATCATCAGCTGACATTGGCCACTGACCAACCCCTTTGGGGGTCAAGCTTCCATCCCTCCAAAACCCAATGAGGGAGGCAGGGTCCGAAGGCTCTTGGGGAGGAAGAAACTTGTGGAGGAAAGAGCAATAACAAAGTCAGCTTCTGCCGTTCCTCGTGGTTCTAAAAATCCCAACGGTGCTATCAAACCAACTTGGACATTGTTCAAGACACACAGCTCTTTTGTGGAATTTTCTAACTGTTTCAAGTTTGTGTAAATGTCAAGAGATTTCCAAGTGTGATTTGTTTTTTTTTTTAACCGAAGTCAGTGACTATAAATTATTCACTACAGAAAAGGAGGGCATAACCAATGTCCACTGGTTATTAAACATTTGAAACTTAGTCTCAAGTTTATGTTAAGGAGAATATGTCTTCCTTAGACATCATAAAATAGCATCAGTACAATGCCTTGAATGTTTATATTTTAAATGAAAAGAATAAATGTCAACAGGGAGACGTAAACTTCTGATACTCTCTCTTTCTTGTCTGGGGTTGCTTCAGTTAAGTGAATTTTCCACATTTGGCTTGCTGTCTCTTCTTATCTCCCAGTTGACAATATCATTACACCATAATTCATAGACTAAATGTATTCTATCACAGGTTTATAACTTAAATGGGAGAAAGGAAGGAAGGAAGGAAGGAAAGAAGGAAGGAAGGAAAGAAAAGAGGAGAAAGGGAGGGAGGCAAAAAGGAGGTTGAGAACCTATCTTAGTTAGGGTTTTTATAGCTGTAAAGAGACAACATGACCACAGCAACTCTTATAAAGAAAAATGTTTAATTGAGAGAGCCACACCCTTTGTGGGCCATTTTCTTTCAAACCATCACAGAAGGGAAAGAGAGAACTGGGTAAGCGACTCAATTTCAAATGCATTGAGCATATTAATTTTTCTTTTTTAAAATGCAATATTTTGTTAATTTTTGAGAATTTCATACATGCATACAATTTGTACTTTAATCCTAACCACTGCCTATGCTGGCTCAACTCCTCCCAAACTACCCTAACTCCCCTACCTCTCCAACATTCACAAACTCCTTTTTCTTTTCCATGTTTTTAACCCTGAGACCAGTTGGGCTGCCCATATACTCACGAGTGTGGGTCGTCTACTGGACTGTGTTTGATGGGTAACAGGGGCCACACCTTTGGCGAACACTGACTCTCCCACACCTAGAAGCCAACAGTTCCTCAGCTGAGGGAGGGGACTTGTGAGGACTCTCCTTTTCACAAAATACTAACTTTTAAGAATATAATAAGTTATTGAGAGTGCACTCACTTACTGTACCACTCGTCTGTTTGAAGTGCACAGGGCAGTAGCTTTTCGGGTATTCACAGTGCTGTACAACCAAGCTTGTCACCGCAGTTCCACAGCCATCAGTGCTTAGCATCCATTCCCTACCCCTTCCTGTTTCAGTTAAGGTCATGGTAAAACACCTTGAACAAAAGCAACAAGGAGGAAAGGGTTTGTTTAACTTTCAACTTTCAGCTAGTAGTTCATCCCTGGGGTAAGTAGAGCAGGAACACAAGGCAGGAACCTGGAGACAGAAACTGAAGTAGAAGGGGAGGGGCTGCTGCTTCCTGCCTTGCTCACCATGCCTGCTTACACATCTCAGAACCACCTGCCTAGGGGTGGCAACATCGTCACAGAGGGCTGGGTCCTCCCACATCACTCATTAATCAAGAAAATGCCCAACAGATTTGCCTATAGGCCAATCTTACCAAAGCATTTTCTTAATTGAAATCCCTCTTCCAAAATGACTCTGTCTTGTGTCAAGTTGACACAAAGCCAACCAACATACTGTCAAACATTAAGCTGCTTTCTGTGCCAACAACTTTGTCAATTTGGGATATTTTATAAACATACTTTGGTGTATAGCTCCGTTCACTAAACACAATTTTTAAAGGTTGTGGATTAAGTCCATACTTCATTCATCTATAAATAACATCCCATTATATGGATAGATACTATTTTTATTTATTTATCCATCTATTGGCCAGCATGTTGTTTTTCCTCACTGTTTAGAAATAAACAACACACATCTGAATATTTATATACATGTTTTGTGTTCATATATTTTTGTTACCTCAGGAATATAACTAATATTATATGACAACTTTATGTTAAACTTCTGAGGAACTTCCCCACTGTTTTCTGAATTGCCTTCTCCACTTCACCTTTCCACCAGTCATCTATGACTTTCTGTGCACCCCGACTGGCACTTGTAATTACTAGTCTTTTGGGATCGTAGATTCCCACATGAGGAGACTGGACAGACAAGGTCAAGAGGTAGCTTCAGTCACCTTTTGAGTTACTTTCTTCATCATTGTGACAAATTACCTTCCAGGAACAAATGCAGGCACTGTGGCCGGGAAGGTGTGCCTATGGGAGGGCCTCTGTCCAGTGTTGGCTGTGTGGTAAGGCAGCTGGGCATCCAACAGTAGGCAGCAATCAGCGAATAGCATCAGCTGCCAGGCTGGGCTGCATCCCCCAATGAAGTAGAAAGGGCAGCGGCGGGGCTGCGTCCCCAGCACCCCGGCTGCCTGCTCGGCTAGCTTATGCCCGAAATAACAACACACAAACTGTATTCATTTAATCACTGCTTGGCCCTTTAGCTCTAGCCCTTACTGGCTAATTCTGATATCCCGATCAACCCATCTCTAATAATCTGTGAGAACCGGTCTTACCGGGAAGATTCTAGCCTAGTCCATCCTGGGTCGGAGCTTCATGGCGTGTGTCTGCCTGGGAGCTGGGAATATGGCGTCTCTCTCAGGCGTCTGCTCCAGAGAGCAGAGCTGTGGAGACTCTGAGCTCACTTCCTCTTCCTCCCAGCGTTCTGTTCTGTTTACTCCTCCCACCTATCCTCTAACCAATAAAATGGGCCAGGGCAGTTCCTTTATTAGCCAATGAACTTCCTCCATCATTTCCCCTTTTTCGGTTTAAACAAAAAAAAAAAAAAAAGGCTTTAACTTTAACATAGCAAAATTACATATAACAAAACAGTTATCAAGTAAAAGTTACAATAATCTTTATCATAACTAAGGAAAACAATAACTAACTATTCTTAACTCCATCAAAGACTCCAGAAAGATACAATACTACCTAAGCAAACAAGAAAAAAGCAACTTTTAAAACTCTAGAAATGACAGAGACATCTCGCTGCCTGGACAGTCACCCAAAGTTCCTCTGTACCGTTGGGGCATCCATCTTCAGCCTTCAGGCCCATGCTATCCAGCAGACATTTTCATAAAGCAGGAAAATTCAAAGTCAGTTCAGTCACTATCTGTTGTGTCCTGCAGAATGTCTCGCAGACTCTTTCATGAATCAGGAACCCCGAAAGATCATCTCACCTTAGGCAAGTTTAGTAGTCCTCTCTCTGCGGGTTCTCTGTGTCCAGTTTATGCAATAGTCCAGGCAAGAGCAGTTTCTTGCCCAAATGGCTATCAAACTCCATAAGGAGCCTCTTTGATGCCCATCTTCCTCTTGAAGTACATTGGTGTTGCCAGGAGCAGAGTGTCTCATTGTCATGAAAAGTCCTCAGTTATTAAAACATTAAATGTTCTATTCTGTAATCTTTGAAAGACATGAAGAATGTCTATCTAAAATATATCTCTATATATCTAGAAAATCTAACTAACATGACTACAAGCTTTACTATTATTGATGATTATCCATTAACAACCTATATTTCTTAATTATACAGTACATATTTAAATGAACTATACAATCACAATACCTTAATCAAAATCAGAAACACTTATATATATAACAAAATTGACCATAAATCTCTATCAATAAAGTAAAATCTATACTAATGCAAATTATTCATACCTATATCATATCCCCCTTTAAATGTAAAAGAACACTTATAAACATTTTTTGGGAATATGGGCGCAGTTATTTCTCTCCAAACTGCTTCCTGCTGAATGGGGGCGTCGTTAATTAGGTCTTTCACGGTATAACCTGTGTGCTAGTTTCATCTCAGTTGACAGTTGAGCGAAGCAATTTTTTGAAGGCGTTCACACCAACCCTTCAGGAGGGCATGGTCCATCATACCAAATCGGAATAGAAGAAGTGAACAGCGTCTCATCCTCTGTGAAAACAAAATAAGAAACTCCTTTCCAAAGCATCATGTCCTTAGATCCAAATTTCAAAGTCAAGGCATCAAAATATCTATGTTGGATTAGTTCAGCAGCATTTATAAATAAATATCTTTTAGCAGCTGTTGCTCCTTCCTCAGCATTCAAACAATTCAAAGAGAGCATAATAGCATACAGTATTAAAATTCTCTGTGTATTTTCCATCATCGTGCGGCTTTATTTTAATCTCTATTTCATTTCTTTTTACTTCTATTTTATATTCTCTGTATATCTTTGACCTGGAATAACTCTGTAGACCAGGCTGTCCTTAAACTCTCAGAGATCCGCCTGTCTCTGCCTCCCAGGCATTGGGATTAAAGGTGTAAGCTACTACACCTTGAACTCACAGAGATCTGTTTGCCTCTGCCTTCTAGGCACTGGGATTAAAGGCATGTGCTACCATACCTTGAAGTCACAGAGGTCAATCTCCCTCTGCCTTTCAAGTGTTGGGATTAAAGGTGTGTACTACCACACACAACAACTCTCTTCCTTTTTTTGTTTTTTACTTTAAGAACTTCAACTTTTAGTCTGCATATATTTTTAACACACTTTAAACCATTCAGAAATTTTCTCTGTCTTTGAATCTCTCTTTATTGTATATCTCTCTTTTTCTGACCACATGAATCTTTAATTTACCAAGCAATCTCAGTAGGAC